TTTAAAATTCTTTTAACAGTGTCTGAGTTTGAGATTATTATTCCCATTTTCTACATGGGGAAGATGATTAACCTGACAAAATTCAGTCAACTAGTAGGTGGTTTAGCTGGGATTAAACTCTAGCAGGACCCCACAGACACACCAGTCCACACACTGCCCTTCAGGGGACCAGGGTAGGGGCCTGGCCTGAGTGGTCAACCTATGATTTGGCCTGGTGGAGAGAAGGGTACCCGGCTAGTCGGATTCTCACTCAACCTCTCAGGACGTTGCCTCGGAAACCCCAAGAGAAAACAAGGCCACCAGCCCAGGAGCTGAAGCGAGGGATGCAGAGTGGGGCCTCGAGGGAGAGCAGGGCTCACAGGGAGGCCCCTGGAAGCAGAATTTATGAATAAACACAGACTATTTGTCAAAAGGAGCTACGAGGTCAAGAGAAGATGCCGTGACTTGTAAGTGGCCTTTGACCGTGCAGTTCCACTTCTGGGAAGGTACCTCACGGGTGTATGACAAGTGCAGTGAAGGACACACGGCCAGTGGCTGCAGTGTCGTGTGTAAGAGCAAAAGATCAACCAACTCAAATGCCCATGAAGGGGGACGGATAAAGTGTATGCCCCATCTACATAACAGGAGTTCAGCTAGGATTCTTTCAAGGTGAGAGCGTTTCTCCACCGATATGGGCTGTATTGGGTGAACACGCAGAAGCAGAAGTGTGGTGCGCTGCGGTGCGATGCATGAGAATACACATGCTTGTTGTTCGTGCAGGAGAAAACTCTGGAAGGATGGAGAAGAAAACAGTAGTGGTGGTAACGGGTGAGGGTCAGGGACGGTGGCAGGGTGCGGGCATGGGGGGACAGTTGAAAAGATACGTGCTCTTCGAACCACGTGAGTGTATTATTGATACTTATCCAAAACTAAGGAACTGAAGGGGTGCGGAGGAGGTTGCAGACGGGGCAGGGCGGCCGGGAGCTCACACTCCGCCATCTCAGCGCGGCCTCACCCCAGCCCAGCCCTCGGGCTTCAGACCCGTGAGCCCAGCCCCGCTGTTCTTTCTGGTTTTCCATTTGCTGAGATTCTGCCTCCCTTCCCGCTCTACGCGATTTCCTTTTAAGAAACACCCTTCCTCCCAACCGGAGCAGTGTACAGAGGGCAGCTGAGTGGCCTCCCCTGCGGATGGGCCGGAAGGATGGGGGTCGGAGCTGCCAACTGAAGGGGAGTGGGGCTGGGTCCCCAGAGTGCACCGCGGTTCTCCCATGATGGAGTCGGGCGCCGGCCGGGGCAGCTCATCCAAGGGCTGCAGCTTTTCCTGGAACCCGATCCGTTTCCCCGACCCTGAGAAGGGGCCCACCAGATGGTCTCGGGGACAGCGTCCCGGTCTGAAGAGAGGGTGGGAGAGGAGACTCCCAGGGCAGAAAGCAGAGGCCGAGACGGTCAGCCGAGGACAGAAAAGCAAGCGGAGTATTTGGGGTTCGCAGTGTCAGGAAGGGTCAAGGGTGCTCAGAGTCTGAGGATAGAAACCCCATGGCTCGGGCGTTCTCTCTAACCCAGTGCCAGGCGCACAAAGGCACTTAAATCTGGGTGGGCAGGGTGATCCCCCCTCGGCTGTGCCCCGACGCCCCAGAGCCCAGGGCACAGGGCACCCTCCTCTCTCAGAGCAGCCCCCACCCTGTGCCCACAGACCCACCAGAGAGAAGAGGACAGGGGCTGGGGGACCGGGGGCCTTCACTTCACCGGTGCTTCTTTATCAGAAGGATCCGATCGATATTCACAGCTCGGCGAGCCCGGGGCCCACCCGGGCGGGGTGCACCAGCACAGAGGCCAGAATGGGTCAGGGGTCCCACGGCCAGCGCCGTCCTCACCTACTCGGGCCTGCGGGGAACCGTCGTCAGTCCTCCCCACTCCCCAGCCCTGGACAGGGAAAGCTGGGAAGGAGGTTCGAAGCTCGAGGTGAAGGGGGCAACGGCAGAGGGAAGGCCCCGCCTGAGGCTCTGTAACCGCGGCCTCGCACCCAGCCCTGAGCAGGGGTTTCCTCACGGTGTGGACAGAGCTGCTCAGGACCGACCCTCTGCTGCAGATGGTCCGGGGAGACGGGTGGGCACCGTGAGTGTTCCACGGCAGGACTGTCAGAGGCCAGGGCGGCGGGAACCAGCATCTCCACCACCACGGCCCCTGGGACGGACTCTTCCCCGTGGGCACCATCTTGGAATATGTCATCAATCCAAAACAAAGGCATCTACGTGCATTGAATTATTTGGCTTTTGATGTTGAGCTTAATCGATGATATACCTATCTTCATAATCTTCTGATCACAGTGGAGAGAACCAAGGATTGACGCACAGACTTGCAGGAAAGCCAGGCGAACGCGAAGAGACTTCACTCCGCCTCTCAGGCTGGGTGACTGTACAACACCTGCGAGGCTTCTGAATAATAAAAGCAGCTCCTGGCAAACACCTCTCCTCCAAGCGACAGGCGGAGCCCTGGCCAATGCCCAGCTGGCTGGGAACAGAACACAGACAGTGGCGGGGCTGCCCTCGAGCTTGCGGCCCTGAAGCCCCAGCCCCTCCTCGTGGGAGAGGCCGACGCAGGGACGGGTCCCACGACTCCTGGGCTCCAACACAGGGCCGTCCTCCCCCCGGCCCACCCAGCAACAGCTCCGACTCCGAGGGGACGGTGGCCACACAGGGAGGGGCCTGGACGACCTCCCGGAAGTCGAGGCTCTCGAAATCACACCCCCTTTGCTGTCCGTCCCTGGGGCGTCTGGGAGAACTCCTTTCTCACGTAAGAGTCACTGCTTCTCAGCACCAGAGCAGAGCGACCTGCTTCCACGAGAGGCCCCTGATCAACCCAGGGAGGTGCAGGGACCGGGGTTCTCACGCCACCAGCTGACAAATGAATCTACCACCACCGGCGAGCGCCTGCCGGGGCTGGCCCCGTGCCTGGGCCCCGGGGCTCTTCTGTGGCACCAGGGCAGCACGTCTGGCTTCAGAGACTGGCCTCTGACTTAGAATGAGATTGAAAATGTGCCGGTTCCACCATGGTCCCCACCTCATCCCTCCACCCCACCTGGTGGCTTTGGCGACTCCTGTGAGAATTTCCACTTCGGGGGCAGGGCAGGGAGACAAAGAGACACTGGGCCGCAGGCCATGTAACTATCAATAGAAGGACCTTCCCAGGTCATCCCAGGAGCGGAGGCCCTAGGGGGCTGGCTCAGGACCACGACAGCACTCGGGGGGGG